CTTTTCATCCACAATGGGAAAAAAATCATAGTCTACCATTTCTTCATGTATACTCCAAATCAAGACCTCTACCAAATAATGGCTGTCCACTTGAAGTTGGCAAAAAATAGTACCAGTTTTTGGTGGAAATTCTGTGAAATACTAAGTCAGATATATTTTTCTCTCCTCAAAAGCATGAACTTTTATGAATTTGTTTGGTAAGGGGAATCCCCAGAGCCTTGTGCTTGCTTTCCTTATGCCCTTCCCTAGAAGTGTGAGCTTTTCAAATGACAACCCTCTAACTGACACAGATAGTACTACTCAGATTTGTAACACATGATCTTTTTCCTCATGCCCCCCATTTGCATTCATCCTGTTCTTTCAGTGGATGCGTTTGTCTGCCGTAAGCAGGCTACCCTGCTTTCTCTCTGCGTTGGGATTGTGGATGTAAAACAGATGCTTTTATCAGTTTAGAAATACTGCTTGAATAGTCAGTGGGCTTGCACAGTTGCATTTTACAACTAATGAGGGAAAGAAAAAAGCCATGAGATTTTGAATAGAGAACTGAAGACAGATCATTTGTAAACGTTTTTCTTCTACACAGTTGAAGGGATCCTAAAAATGTATAATAAAACCTCAGAGTTACATTATTGATAAATGGACTGCTGAAGACTGGGCATGGTGTTGCATGCCTGTAATCCCAGCTCTTGGGAGCTGAACACAGGCAGATCACTACGAGTCTGATCTGCGTAGTGAGACCCTATAGACCTGTAGAACTCAGGACTTTGCGCTCACCAGACAGGTGCTTATGCCGCCTAGCTGTATCTCCAGCCCCCCGTTGTCTTTGTCATGTCTAAGCCTCTGATAACACTTTGAAGAAACCTTTAAGGGATTCTGTGCATTCCACAGGATAGTGTATCACTCTGCTAATAATTCTTATGCCTTAAAAAAAAAAAAGAAGAAAGAAACCTTCATAATGCATCAGGTGTAAGACAGTATTTTGTAACAACGTTGGACATTTTGCTACCTTTTTGATATATCTTTATTAAAGGTTAGGTTGGTGACTTTTTTAAAAAAAAAATTTGGGGCGCTTTTTTAAGGTGATGTATCTCTCTGTTCATACTTTTGATGCTCTTTGTCATTCACCAGAATGACATTTGAAGATGGTAAGAAAGAAATAATTCATGAGATAAGGTAAATATGTGCAAAATAATTGACTTAAAATTATGAAATATTTATGCTTTATTGTATTCAAAGTAAATTACTGTATATTAAAAATACTTTTTTATGTATTTAGTACAGGGTCTATAGGGTCTCACTACGTAGATTGGATAGTGATCCTCCTGTTTTTAGCCCAGTCTTACTTGCTGTCTCAGTGCACCCCCAGGGCGGGGCCAGCACGGCATGCCAGGGATTGAACCCCAGTCCCTGAGCCTGCCTAAGCAGGTGCTTTAGTCCGCTGAGCTATCTGGCCAGCCCTTGAAAAAATACTTTTAATGAAGTCACTGAACTGAGAAAAATAGTTTTAAGGAGTTCTTTCCTAAACTTCGCTCTTTTCAAACACAGTGTTGTCTGGAGGAACCTACAACATTTTGATAATATTGGTCATTAAATTCTCTGTGTTTAAAAAGTGATTGTTCAATATTTAACAAGATTTCTCTTTTTATTATTTATTTTTAATTTTATGTATTTTGTACAGGGTCTCATTGCACAGCTTGGACTTGTAGCGATCCTCCTGTTTTCAGCCTCTTCAGGGTTGGATTACAGGCGTGCACTACCATGCCGGGTCTCGGTGGCCAGTCCAGCATGCCCAGAGGCAGGGCTGGCAGCTCATGTGGTTCTGGAGATCGAACCCTGGTCCCTGTGCTTGCCTAACTAGGTGCCTAGTCCACTGAGCTATCTCGCTGGTCCTGTAATTTCTCCTTTTAATATCTCATCGAATTGTTAAAACTACCATTTCGGATCATTTCTGCTATTTATCTTGTTTTGTGGGTAAAATTGAGGCATGTAGAATTTAACAATATATCCAAGGTGACAGAGTGTGAGGGGTGGGGAAGTTCAAATTTACTGTAAGCCCTGAGACGGAAACCCACAGTCTCATGATGCATGTCCTCTCTGCTGCCTCCTGTGGAGTCTGCTGCTTTGCTCTAAAGCTAGAACCCTCACCTGTCTCTCACAGTCACCCTCGGGATGTTTGTGCCTGTGTGTGTGCGAGAGAGAGACAGACAGACAGACAGACAGACAGACAGACAGACAGACAGACAGAGGATTGAACCTAGGACCTTTGATTTCTTATAAATTGATTTATAAAACAAGTACAGTGACAGTTGGAGCACTTCCAAGGCTAGAACCCTAGGAAACTCCTAGGCAGCCTGGAAAGAATTAGGGATGTTCATTGTAAGCTTTCTCAGCCCTACCTCTGCATCCATGTTATTCCTTATCCTTTAACCTTTGTCATGAGGCTCAGAGCTTAGATATAAGGGCAGGAAATCAGATGCAAGTCAGGATTTTAAAATATATACATTGTTTAATATTTAAAGATGTGTTTATACTTTAATTCATAAGCTGGGGATTTAACTCAGTTCTGTCAGGCACCTACTCTACCACTGAACTACATCTAGTCCTTTAAATTTTATTTTAGACAGGGTCTTGCTAAACTACTCAGAGAGCTTGAGTTAGTGATTTTTTTTTTTATTTTTTATTTATTTATTATATTTTTAAGGAAGGGTCTACAGGGTGTTCAGGGTCTTACTACTAGATCAGACTTGTAGTGATCCGCCTGTTTATAGCCTACCAAGAGCTGTAATTACAGGTGTGCACCACCACGCCCAGTCTCAGTTGCCCTCTCAGGGTGCCCCCAGGGGTGAGTCTGGCACAGCAGGCCCCAGGATCAAACCCCTGGCCCCTGTGCCTGCTTACAGGTGCTTTAATCTGCTGAGCTGTTTGGCTGGCTCTGAGTTAGTAAGTTACTGCCTCAGTCTCTGAGGTAGTTGGGAAACAGGCATGTAGCCTCACCCTACCAGTGCTGATACGTTTTGACTCTTCTGCATAGAGCCTAATTAGCTCATCAGAATGTGAAGAAATAGTGCATTCTGTGCTGTTCTCCTGAAGTACTGCATATGAAGCATGTGAAGAGGTTTTGCATAATATGCACTAAACTAAATTTGAATGGAATGAGATAGAAAATACATTTACATTTTGTCCAACATAGTATTATTATGTATTAAAATTATGAGGATTTATGCAATACATTGATTTAAAAGATTAATATTTTAAATTGCAATATTTTAAAATACCTCTTTTATATAGCAAAACAATAAGCATACTTTAAAAATTAAGAATGGAGCATGTACATTTTTATTCAACAAACCAAGAGAAACTTCACTGTATGGTTCTGTTTCTTACTGTGGTAAGTTAGGGGAGGGAGGATAAAGAGGTAGTATTTGAAAGAGCAAAAAAGGAAAATCAGAGCCATGAAAAAATAAAAAGAGACCAAGGGAGACAGAAAAAGATAGTAGGCAAGAAGATTAGCCTTGGTTTCTAGATTCTAGTTGTTAGGGACAATTCAAATTTAGATATATGAATTTGGGTCACACACTATAAACACCTTTATTTTTATTTTTTAGAAGCTTTAATAGTATATTTAGGGTATATTCAACTCTGTGAATTAGTTGATGATTGACCTACCTTTCTGAAGTATGCTACACCAGAAACATGGATCATTTTCATCAGGCAGTTCATTGCAGTGCTACTACAGAGAAGGACTTGTCTGTTCTGATCTTCACTCAGGGAATACAGCTCACTTACGTTGAACGGCCACTTTATAAAATATGTGATAATATGGCAGAGCATGATGCCATCACATACCATATGTTAGTGTGTTCATGGTCTTACGTGGAATGCTATTTTAAATTTGATAGTTTATAAAGTTCAGGTGAGCACTTTGAAATGTCATCATATTAAGTAGAATACATAATGAAAAACATTAAGGAATAGAGTAATTATCCACACCTCAATCACAAGTTAATTATTCATTCTATATTGTTCACAGTGTTGCAGTTTTTCTGTATAGTTTTATGATCTCAACTCAGTCCTACGATCTTTCTATGAGGATGATCATTGTATGAGTGCACATTGGTCAGTGACACTGTGCTGTTCACAGCCAGTTGTGCTGGCTTTGCTTGAAGTCTCGCCCAATCTGTATTTAACGGTGTTCAGTTGAGGTAGATGGTCTTGCCCCTTGGTTAGATCTTTAAGGTTCTATATGGTATTTTTAAGTTGGTAAGTTCAAAGAGATTCCAACTTTCTAGCATTTGTACTGTATATTTTTTAAACTTTTGAATGTTTGACTTTGATACTCTTTTTATGTTTAAAAGGCTTTGTATTTCTTTATTACAAAACATTGTAAAAGAGGCTATCACCTTACCATACAAAATGAAATTTAGGTTTGATTTACAGCCACTACCAAATTCTGTGAAGTTTTGTTATAGCAATAGATTTACCAGAGAAATTGTTAAAACCATCTGTATATATTTACTCATCTCCTTGGGATTTTTTAAAATCACATTTTATTTGATTGCCTTGTTTGTTTTTGGTCTTTTTTGATGTTACTGTATTTTTTTGGTTGAATTTTTTAGGGGAGGTTTATTTTTTGTTTTTGGAGCCGAGGGATGAACCCAGGGCTTCCAGCTTCACATTTTATTTGGAAAAAAAGGATTAATGTTTGCTTTGAAAACCTGATTTGGTTTTGGCTCTCAGGACTTCTGCACTCATGGCTCTTAAAGCTATTCCATCCTTTCCACTGGTTTAAAAATCAATAATTTTATCATCATGAAGAGTTTGATGAAGCAAATTTGTTTTACACATGAAGCTACAAGACTTGTAAATGCTGCAAGTTCTGTTAACTGCAACTATGGTATTTTCCCACAATAACCCTACTTGGCATTCAGAAGTTTACAAGCCCCATTTTCCTATTTTTTGAAGACTACTTAACAAATTTTATCATTTTTTAAAAATTGCAGTTGGAGAATTTGATGCTGGATAAAGATGGCCACATAAAAATTACAGATTTTGGACTTTGCAAAGAAGGGATCACGGATGCCGCCACCATGAAGACGTTCTGTGGCACACCAGAGTACCTGGCCCCCGAGGTGAGCTTCTGTGCCGTTCGCATGAGAAACAGTGTCTGTGTTACATTTAGCAGACGTCACCATTTAAGCACTCTGTTAAATTGCGATACTTTTTGCTAGTTGTACGTGGATTTCAACCTAAATGAAATTTAATTAGCTTTTACCTGTTTTAATGGGTTATGTGAGGGCCAAGATTATATATAGATTTTTATGAGCTTTATAAGTAGATCACATCAGTTTTATATATTGACTATATGTTTAATTTTTGGTTATGGCCATTTGGCTCTTTTTTAAAAAATGTAATAATGAATGATATCAGCAAAAATGTTACAAGCTTTATAAATTGTCTTGGGCTTAAAAACCATGCTGTTATGATGAGCTGTAGGGGACTCAGGTCAACAATTTCTGACATTGCCAGTGAAGCGGAAGACCCAATACTATTATGGACTACTGAACTCTTCTAGAATATTTTGCTGAGTTAACACACCTATAATATTTAAATGATGGAACTTAAAAAAAGGGGGGATACGGAATAATGTCCATTTTGTATCTGTGTATTCAAAGTGGTTAGGATAGATATATAGTTATATTATCTTAATGAATAGAGGGATTTGTTCTAATGGTGTTTGTAAATAGGATATCATGTCCGCATCTTGTAAGCAATTAACCACTAGGAAGAATGTATGCAATGTGTTAATTATTGAAACTGTCCTACCAATTTGGTTTGAAACTGTCTCATTGCTAGTTGTTTCTCAATAAAATTATGGAAAAAAAATTGTCTTAGGCTTAGAAACAAAGATTACGGTGGCTTCGCCTTTGTAGCACTGTGGGGTTTCATACAGAAGTAATGAAAATTATTTTATTGGGAGATTGCGGATCCACGTATTTTAGAGTTCACAGCAGTGGACATTACACAGCAGAAATTCTTTGTGCTAAGGGTTTCACAATAGTTCCTTAGGTTATTCCACAAGTATTTATTGTGTTTCTGTTGCATAATGGGCATTTTTGGGATGATGTGATTACAGGAACAAAGGAAAAGGACTATATTCTCAGAGAATTTACTTGTAATAGAGGAGACAAAAGAACAAGAAATAACACGATAGTTTAAGTTTTTTTCGCATGAAGGAAAGAAGGGTGAATAATTGGAAGGGTGCAGCATAGTAGCTATTTGGTGTGCTCCAGCTGCTAGTGCTGTGTAACAAGCATCCCCATACTGAGTGGTAACATGCCATTTAATATTATTATGGATTTTCTGCAATAGGAATGCAAGTGGAAAAAGCAGAAAAAGTTTATTTCTGTTGCACTTGTGTATGTAGCGTCAGACAGAAAGACTTTAGATTGAGGGGTGACTCCATGACTAGAGGCAGGAATTGTCTGGAAATATCCAGAAGAATTTTCACTTATATATCTCATAGTTGCTGCTGAACAACCTCCAGCACCTAGGCTATTGACAGCAGTACTTAAATGTTGCCTCCCCGTGTGACCTCAACTTTCTTGATCAAGGCCGAGCCTTAAAGAGGATATTAATGGGATATTTAATGACAGCTGCAGAGTGGTCAGATTTCTTTGGCTCTGACCTCTAACCTCTAACATTGAATATTGTAGGTACAAGTTAGAACTTACCCTCCTCTTTCTTTTTCACCAAGTAAACTGTCAGAATTTTTTATTATTATTATGTATTTAGTATACAGTCTACGGGTATCACTATACAGATCAGACTTATAGTGATCCTCTTGTTTTTAGCCTCCCAAAAACTGTGAATACAGGCCTGTGCCACCACGCCCAGTCTCAGTCACCATCTCAGCACACCCAGGGGTGGGGCCGGCAGGGCATGCCAGGGATCGAAACTTGGTCCCTGTGTCTGCCTAAGTAGATACTTTAATCTGCTGAGCTATCTGGCCAGCCTCCTGTCAGAAATTTTAACATTTCTAAAGTGTATTTTAAGTTTCTTATAATTAGAGTATGTCATATGCCATAGAATTCATTCTTCTAGGCTTTACAATTCAGCGAATTCTTTTCCCTAGTGCTTGTTTTGCCTTTGCAGCCTTGTTTTTAAATTTTTAAAATTTTATTTTGTTAGTACATGTCCGTAATACGTGAAGTTTACATTCATTTGAGGAAGCAGGTTCATATACCTAATATTTCTTGATTCTTTTTTGTCTCCCCTCTTCTATCCTGATCCCTCCCTCTGTCTCTAAACTCTTTTATTATTATTATTTTAGTACATGGTTGTAATATATAATGTTTGCATCTACTTTAGGTGTTTTGTACATTTATGTGACATTTTATTTCTTTTATTATTTTTTACTTCAAATAATTTTATTGAGAAGCAAATAGCAATGAGACAGTTTCAAAACCAATTACTAGCATAGTTTCACTAATTAATACATTGCATATTGTTATCTTAGTGGTTATTCATTGTACAAGATGCAGACATGATATCCTGTCCACAAACACTATTAGAACAAATCTCTCTATTCAATGTTCCAATAGTATGCAACTGTGTATCTATCCTAACTATTTTGAAAATACAGATACAAAAAAGTCATTCATTTGTATCCCTTTTTATTTAGTTTTACTCAGAGAAGCGTATTCCATTATCATTTAAGTATTGTAGGCACATGAATTCAGCAAATATTCCAATATAGCCCAGTAGTCCATAATAGTAGTGGGTTTTCTGTAGGACTGGCAATGTCAGAAGTTGTTGACTTGAGCATTTCACAGCTCAGCTATTTAATATGGCTTTACTTTTTGTACTTTATTTTTATATTTTTCTGCTGGATTGTTAAGACCAAGATAGAGCAAGACTACTATAACAAGCAATGTAACTTTTATATCTGATAAAGTCAGTCAAATCCACTCAGGATTTAGCCTGAAACCTTTTATCACAGTTTGTTAGATCCTTTGTCAGTGTCAGCCATATGGACGAGTCATGGCCATTGCTTGACAAATTTGCTCTCTGTGAAAGCCTGAGAGAATGTTTTCTCTCCATGTGACTCTCCTTAGGCACACTCTACATCATCGATCACTTTCCTCTGTGGCCCCATAGTCTCCTTAATCAAAGAATTTGGGACACAACAGAGTTACTTGATGTTGTAGTACAGGTTCTCCTATGTCCTGAGTTTTCACTGACCTTGAAAGGCTAGGGCCAAAAT